AAAATTTTCAATTAATACTTTTTTCTGAATTTTATTCTTATTTTTTTGTTTTCTTTTTTAATTTTTGGTTCGTTTTTTTAATGTATGTATGTATGCTTTTCATGCTATGCAGTTATTCACATTGATATTGAACTTTATGTTTGCAGTAGAAAATAAATATGCATTGTAGGTTATGCACAGGGTGTTCCAAAAAAAAAAAAAATGAGAACTATTAAATCAATGCTGCATCGCAATAATAAATTTCACTCTAATCAAAATTTTTTGGTCTTCATTAAAGCAGCTATCAAAATATATTTTATTTCGTTATTATACGAAACGAAATGAGGTTAATGTTAAATGTTAACATTAATGTTAAGCTGCTAACAGATAGTGTTAAATGTTCAATTGAAGTATGCTGTTAATATTATGGCAAGCAGCTACTTTTAAAATTAACGTTGACAATGAGTACTTTTAGTTTCAGCATAAAAGATGGGATTTAGTAGCGATAATATGGACTCAAAAGTTTATTTTCTATATTCACAAAACAAAATGACATATTTTCGTTAGTTGATCATCTCTGTGTTTTTAACATTGCTGTTTTTGGAAGAAAGAGTTTATTTATTTTTATACATTGATACTTTTTACCCTCTTAAGGAATGAAAGAGTTCCTCCAGTGGCTCCAGCGCTGTCTGAAATATTTACTGAAAATATGAGTATTAGTCAAATTCACTGACGTAAAATGGGCAAACAATTATGCCACATACCACATACCACATTTTAAACAAAACTTAATTTTGAGTTTGAAACACCCTGTATAGCAATTGAATGAGTTGATAGTTAGTGGAAGCGTTCTCTAGTTCTAACTTTTTAGTTCACATTTATTAAGTGATTTTGAAAATATGGAAGTTGAAGAATATTTCGTCTTTCAGTAATTTTGTTATTTAGCTATGTATATATATATATCTATATATATATCCACCATATAAACGTATATGTGCTAGCTATGAGTGATTTGGATTATTTGATGTACATACATATATACAACAATTTAACCATGTTTATATGTTTGCTTGTACGAATTTAACTATGATTGCTGGCCTACAAAGAATTTTTGTGATTTTACTTTTTTGCTCAGTGAACATGATTTTTTGAGAATTTTAAGTATTTTTTTTTTTTTGTTTTTATTATATTTATGTTATTATATTTTTTTTTATATATTTACATGATTTTTTATTAATATCTAGTACGGTTTTATGTATAATTTTCATTGCCAACTTATTAACTTTTACCAATTAAGAATTAGCAGTTTTTAATTTTACTTATTTTTCTTAAGTTCTCTGCTATTTTTTTTACTAAATTATTTATTACATCTATTAATTTTTGCTATAAAATTTATTTTATTAGTAAAATTAACATTAAAACTTGTATCACAGAGAGGCGTGACTTTTAATAAAGAGACTTGGAACTTAACACATGTATAATGTACACATACATATTTATTTATTTTTACATATTTATTTCAACAATTTATTATAATTTTATGTAACAATATTAAAATATACAATTTCAGTGAAAAAAACAACAAATTATTTACAAAAATAGCACTTGATATGCAAAGCAAGTTTTAGTCAGATAAATCAACAATATTTTAAGCCTTAAAAATAAATTACAAAATACTTCAAAAAAAGTACATAAATAATAATAAAAACATAAAACCTTTTTTTAATATTTATATACCCAATTTCTGATTACATTTAAAATAACTTTGGTTTGCTTATGGATATATAGTTTTGTCAAAATCTTCTATTATTCTATTAGAAATATTTAAAAAAAACCTTTAAGTAAAGAAAAATATAAAATTTTTATGGTAAAAAGTTTGAAACAGATTAAAAAATTTTGTGAAAAGGTTATTTAAAAAACACTAAATATTAGTTAATATCTTTGTCAGTTGTTTAGAACAGTTTCAGCAATTTTTTTGATATTCTACAATTTTTTATAATCTTCGTTTTACATTACACTTAATAGTTTATCACTTAAATATAAAAATACTTATAAAATTGCTTTCATTTTTTATATTTATTTGTGAGCGATAGTGAAATGTACATAAATGAAGATTAAAATTTCGAAGCCGAAATACCAACTGATATATGCTAAATCAAGGCGTTTACTGGACTTGTACAATGATTTTGATTATAAAAGTAATAGAAAATAAATAATAATGAAAAGAGATGAATTAAATTAAATTAACTAATATAAAATTAAGATATTTGAAATAAAATAAAAGAACAAAATGAAAAAATAATCAATGAAATTTAATAAAATCAATTGAAATGAAATGAAATAAAACAAATTATATTAAAATGAATAAAGCAAAATAAAACAAAATAAAATAGAACAAATAAAACAAAAAAATGAAACGAAAACAATTGTATAATAATAGAAACAAAAATTAAAATTAAATCAAATACAAATCCAAAACGAAATTATATAATAATAAAAATAAAAAAAAATTAAAGCTAAAAGTTTTAATAAAAATAAAAAATAAAATACATTAAAATAATCAAACTTAATTAAATAATATAAAATAAAGGTGATTAAAATTGAATTAAAAAAAAAAAAAATGAAATAGAAAAAAAAGAATAAAAATAAAATGTAATAAAATCAATTGAAATTGAATGAAATAAAATAAAATAAGATAAAAGAAAATTAAAATAAATAAAATAAAATAAATCAAAATAAAGTGAAACGAAATAAAATAAAAAATAGACCGAAAAATATTTTACAATAAAAGAATCAAAAAAAAAGTTAAATAAAAATAAAATCCAAAAAAAAATATATCATAATAAAAATAAAAAATAAAATAAAATAAATTATAATAAAACAATTATTTTAAAAAAATAGATAAAAATAAAACTAAGAAAAGTATACATAATAAAAATAAAAAATTAAATAAATCAAAATAAAATATAATAAAACAATTTTTATAAAAAAAAAATAAAAAATGTTACAAAAAAAATCAAATAAAATAAAATTATATAAAATAAAATATAACATTCTAAAATTAAATAAAGTAGAATAAAATGAAATAAAATTAAATGACATGGATCAAAAAATAATAACGAAAATTTCATATTAAATTAAGAAAGATTCGTATTAAATTAAGTCAAGTAAAATAAAAATGTAACAAAAAGCATAAAATCAGTAACAACGAAAATATTTTCAAAAAATTATTTAATCCAAACTACAAGTGGACTGATTCTGGTCATAACGGAAGTTTGAACCAAAACTAAAATTGGTATGTTATTACATTTTTCAGATCTTCAAGAAATTTTTAAAAAGTATATTTTTTACATAATTTCAAAACTTTTAGTGAATTATATTTTCCAACAAATTTGAGGGTAACCGTAATAACAAATATGCTACATATGTAGTTTAGTTTCTTATATGTACATATGACACTATCAGTTTTGCAATAATGTATTTATGTATTATAATTATCTGATGACTTGTACTACATTTTCAAATATCAGTTTCTTTTGATTGTATTTTTTTATAGTTTACTGTGGTTGTCTTCCTTCCAAATTCCTTTGCAGCTCTTAGAAGCTACAATGCAAGTAAATAAATATAAAGAACGACCAAGTTGAGTATGTATGTAGTGTATACTTTTAATATATTACAACTTTCCATGACGCTAATATTTTATCATTAGCTAACACTTACTAAAAATGAAAATTGCTATTGTAATTTAGTTATTAACATCTATTTTATTATATATTCAATTTTCATTTAAATTTTTATGATAAATTATTCAATTTTATTCTATTTTATTTTATTTTCTTCTGTTACATTACATTTCATTTATTTCTATTAAGTTCATTTCTTTTCATTTTATATTATTTAGTTTTATTTTAATTTAACTTATTTTAATTAAAATTTTTGATTTTTTTTTTCAATTTATATTAATTTGTTTTATTCTTCTATATTTTTTAAATCATTCTTTTTCAATTCTATTTTTTCCATTTGAATTCATTTTATTTAATTTATTTTATTTTATATAAATTTTTGTGATTATAATGTACTTTTGGAATTACTTGTTTTAATTTTCTTTTTTTTAATTTGTTTCATTTTAATTCATATTTTTTGTGTTTTGTATTTTATTTTGCACTATTTTATTTTATTCCATTTTTTTAATTTTATTTAATTTTGTTTATATTCATTTATGTATATCTCACTTTATATTAGTTTATTGAAATGGTTTTATCTTTATTTTATTTTTTCACTCTATTTATTTTACTTAAATTATTATATTTTCTCATATTTGACTTTATCTTATTTTAATTTTTTTTAATTTTTTGTATATTTTTTTTCTTAGTTTCATTTCATTTTAATTAAAATTATTTTATTTAATTTTGATTTTTAATTTGCTTTTATTTTTTATTTAATTTTTTATCTTTTTTTCTTTGATTTTATTATTTTGTTTTATTTAATTTAATTTGATCTTATTTTATTTCATTTTATTTAATAAGTTTTATTTTTTGTATTTTATTTTTATTGCGTTATTTATTTTACTTTATTTTCTTATATTTTGTCACATTTGATTTAATTTTATTTTATATTTTTTAAATTTTTTTTACTCATTCTCTAATTTTTTGCGTCTAATTAGTTTTTTTTTTTATGGCTATAATGCATTGTTTGCTTCATATTGTTGTTTTTCTGCTTAAATATAGACTAATTAAATGAATTTCAGTTCGATTTAGCGCTGCTGTTCAAACACAATTGTAATTGTGCATACACATACACATACATATTTATATAAATATTTACATAATTATTTTTTTCCAACTACATTTAGTAACTTTATTTTGCACACTTATAAATATTTATACACTGACATACATACATAAAAAACAATTCATGTTTTCACACAGCTGGTTTAAACTTGTTTTATTATTAATGAATTGTTTTTATATTTATCTCTCATATTGTAATTTTTTCTGTTTTTTCTCTATCCTTTTTTCTTATTTTTTTTTTTTTTTGTTAATTTAGTACAATACATTTGAGTTGTCACTTTGAAACGCTTGAAATTGCTTTTAAACGCTTTGAAACACGAAGAATACAAATACATCTACAAAAACATACTTACTCATACATACACATAAGCTTCTTAGTAGCTAACCGCTTTCGCCTTTCGTATTCTTTTCATCCGTCAACAATATTCCCAGCTGACCACCCTTAGACGGCCTAATTTCAAAGGAAACTTTCCCTCGCCCCATGACGCTCATCGCCCAACATAACACGCTGCGACGGCGGCTCACCATACTGATCCTGATAATAATTTTCACGCATCATTGTATTGAGACTAGAGCAACGGAAATAGAGTATCTCCTGGAAGGGTTTCCGGAAATCCCTATTCAGCGTCGCGTAAATGATGGGGTTCAGCAGCGAATTGGCATAGCCCAACCAAAGGAAGAGCGATGCGAGCGAAGGCGGCACATGTACGCTCTCAGTTTCCACAAACGGTCGTATGAGAGCGAGTATAAAAAATGGCAGCCAACATATTGTGAACGCTGACATAATGATGCCCAACGTTGTGGAAGCTTTCTTCTCTTTGGCCAACTGGAAGCGCAATTTTTTCTGATGCGGCGAACCGAGCAAACCACTGGAGCCACTCACCCCACCACCACTCCCACCGCTCGCGTGATGATGTGCGCTCAAGCCGCCGCCGCAGGTGGAATAGGAGAGCGAGGTGTTGCCATAGCTACTGTGCCGTTGGCCATTGCCACTTCCGCTGCCACCCAATACAGTCAAATCGGTATTTCCCGGCGGTGAGCCGGTGCCGTTGAGTGCGTGCTGTAAATGCGTTTGTGCGCGTTTCTCCTCTAACACTATACGACGCGCGGCGCGAAATATTTGATAATAGACGAACAGCATTACCGATAGGGGGATATAGAAGGAACCAAGTGTTGCATAAATTTGATATGCGAAATTCTGACACACAATGCATATGGGTGTGCCATGCTCGTCCATATGCTCATTGCCCAGTATTAGTAATGGCGGCAGGGAGATGCTCGCCGCCACCAGCCATACCAGCGCCACGCAAGCCATCATGCGACGCGGCGTACGCTTAACGCCATACTCCAGTGGCTTTGTGATGGCCAAATATCGATCCACGGAAATGGCGCACAAATTCAGTATGGAGGCCGTGCAGCAAAGCACATCAAACGACACCCAAATGTCACATAGTATTGGGCCGAAATTCCATTTGTCCAACACCTCATAAAGCATAGCCATAGGCATGACCAACAGCGCAACACAGAGATCGGAGAGTGCTAACGACACTAGTAAATAGTTGCAGGGACGTCGCAACTTACGCACCATACACACCGCTATGCAGACGAGCACATTGCCTACAACTGTACCGACGATGATGAACACCAAAATAATGCAGACAATTATCGCTTGCCATGGTGGCAGTTCAATCACATCATCGGTCTCATCGTCTTCGCTCGATCCCTGCTCCGGCGATGGTGTTGCGACGGCGCTAATGTCGGTGGGTTGTGCGCCGCCCACCATGGGATCCCAAATACTGCTTGTGGTGATGAGCGCTGCGCTTGCAGAGCCCACATTGCTTGTGCTTGTAATACTGTGGTTTTGGTTGTTGGACTTGACAGCCGTCGCTGCACCATCACCACTGCCATTGGCACTCGTCTCTTTGAGACTGATGACATCGGAAGTGGAAATAATGGTCGAGATAAATGAGCTCGAGTTAAAATCACTGGCAGCGTTGTTACTCAGTGGCGGCGGTGGTGGCGGTGTCTCATCTGGTGCATTGTAAGCAATACCGACGCCGTCCACGTTCTGTGCAACGACTGGTTTAGGTGTGCTTTGTGTAGGTGCTACGTGACGGCGCGCCTGCGAAGAAGTAACAACAGCGGCGGCTGAAGCCTGCGCTATCCAATTACTGAGGAGTAGTGTGAGCAATAGAAAGAGAAGAGCTCGCAGTGTATGGCGCAGCGCTTGGCGGCCAGGTTGCACATGTAATAACAGTTTGCTGCCGATATAGTTATAATTGCTGCTGCGGGCAGTCGTAGTACTGCTGTGGTTGGTGGGCTGAAGTTGGCCAAGAGCAAAACGCTCTGGCAGCGTGTGTCTAGAGTATTTTTTCTGTTTTGTAGTTATTTCGAAATAGTGTTGCTGTTGTTTTTCTATGCTGCAAAAACTTGTTTGGTTATAAGAAGCCATATAAAATGTGCGAGACGTTTGTGTAGGTACTTAAGTAGGTGGAGGTGATGAAAGCGTAAATGCGCGGACGTTAGTAGTTGCGACCAATGCTATAGAAGCGTTTTTGGGTTCGGTAGATGATTTTACCCTTCTAAGGTTAGTAAGATTAGTGACTTGTTTCAGTTTTTAGAATGTTTTTGGAAGTTGAAAAGTATATATATATTTAAATATATGTATATTATTAAGTGAGAGCTTTTAACACAGCTTTCGCTTTTTTAATGCTAAACAAAAGATATACCTGGAACAAATGAGAAGATTTAACTAAACTAACTTAAATCGAAAGTAACTAGTTAAAAAGAAATTGATATAATATCAGTTAACGAAAACTCTGAAGTTTTTAAGCTTAAAAATCTCACTAGTAGTTTAGCGAAAATAAAAGCTTCTGACTCTAGAAGCACGAAGCAAAAGTTTATGAGTTTTACTGACGCAAGCTTTCACCAGCCTAAAGCCCGCCGAAAGCTCTGCAGCGCTCAAAGCACCAGCTTTCACTTGCTGTTAGTTATATTTGCTTTGTAAATTGCCTCAATTCATTTATCTTCCGCTTGCCGCTGGGATTTGTATAATTTTTTCGTGTGCAACTTGACTTTGTGGCTTCTATGACTTAATGCTGATTCATCGTCTCATACTAAGCCTCAAGTGGCTGATTGTTGATTTCTTGTATTTCTGTTTTCCTCACTTTTATTTCGTTTAATTTACGTTTCATCGCTCGACTTCGACGCTCCTAATCTGTTTGTCATTAATCATAATTGTAACATTTGCACATTACACGCGCGTAAATATATATATTTAGGTCTGTACATCTGAAGTCTGCTCACATCTCACTTAATCCAAATGGACTCGTCGCTTTGGTGGGTTGTCATGCAATGTGACTTTGCTGGTTTTATATTTCATGTATTTCTTTAGTTCCTTCTCCATTGTTTCCATTTCTACTACTTTCTTTATGTTGTTATTTGTTGCTCGTGTCATTTCATTTATTGCACTTAATCGCGCTCATTTTTGAACTGGGATTCGTTGCAATTAATCTTCATGTCGTGCGAGTTCTCGCGGGTAGCGCGGCCCGTGTTGGGATGGAGATCTCCTCGGTGATTTGTTTTCGCTTTCGTATTTTTGTTTTTCTCTAATACAAACCGCGTCTGTCTGCTATTAATCAAATTATTTACTTTTCTAAATTTAGCAGGGCTACTCTATTGGGATTCTTACTTTAGTTTCGGTATATGTTGCTACAGTCACTTTTGAAACCGCTGGATTTGGGCTGTAGAGCCATTTGTGATTGGGTTCAAGTGAAACTGAATATTGATTGTCCAGTTACTGAAATGAGAAGAGAGAGAATAAAACTTTTACAATTATTGTTCCTTATGGAAAGTAAATTTTTTATTATTTCTATTTTTTATTCACATTCACTAATATTCATCACAAAACTAATCAAATTACTGTATTAATAGACGGTCCTGGGGAAAATTTTCCAGATCGTGTTACCTCTCGAAGAGGTGATCGCAATGGATAACCGATATCTTGTGATTTTACACCTTGCGAGTTCTTCTTTTGTGGTCACGTGAAAGATAAGGTCTACGCCAATAGGCCAACGTCATTTAAAGATCTCAATGATGGAATTCGTAAAGCTTTTTATGACATACAACAGCTACTTTGCGATTTTGGGTTGGAAAATTTCATAAAAAAAAAGACACGGACCTGTAAGCGAACATTGTTTTCCATTACTAAATACATATCTTCCTCATAGCACCTATTTAAATTTCAGGAGCGACCTTCCGAGATTTTGGACGTGAATCTCACGTGAGATTTCCTCAAAAGTCGCCGAGTTCCTGTGCATATATGGTGTGGCATGGAGTCTTGTAGATGGTCAAAAAAATGACTATTAACTTGTTAGCTCACAACGTGTGTAATGCGCAAGTTGAAGAGAAAAGGAAAACATAATTTTTCTTACAATGTCTTAAGCATAAAGTAGTAAAAAGAAGTAGGTAGAAAATTTCCGTTAAAGTTCGACGAATTGCAGAAAATACTGAAATTCTCTAATAGAAACCAAAGTCATCATTTGATGGAGGAACCTACAGTTTATACTGCACCGGCTTCAATCGGGCGATTGATCTTTATGGTAAGCTTTTATCAGAAAAATTAATTTTCTATAGTTTGGCAGGTTGGTCGTACGAATGCTCAACCTCTGGCCTTCCAAATGGTAATTCACACCCCTAACAACTCGCTTATTTTGATATCTTTCAGGAACATATTGTACAATTTTAAGTTAGCTTTGGACTGTAGCATGTAGGCACCAGAAGGAACCCAGCAAAATATAAACTGATCGGATCACACAGAAGATTGTCTTTCCATCTGTTTGTAGCAAATTGGACCTTTGGGTTTTGAGATATTTAACCAAATTTAGTTAGTAGTTGTACCTAATGCTGTTTTAGTTATTTATAGGAGCCTGACAGATCGGACCACTATATCCTATAGCCCTCATACAACCAAATTTAAATTCGTTATTCTATTTAATGAATTGATATTGAAAATCAGCTCATATAGTAGCCATAGAACTGAAATGTAAAATTTAGATTTGAAATGTAAAATTTGGTATTATACACCCGTATTTGCATATAAACCTTCCCATTGAAAATCATCAGAATAGGCGAACTACATTATGAAGCCTCCGAACAACCTATGAAAAATGATATAAATATATATTCGATATTTGGCAAATTATAATATTACATTACCACCAAAAAAAAAAAATATATATATATATATCAAAAACAAACTTTTCTGCTATTTTCTCCAAGGCCAAGGGTCTCAATTCACTTCTTCTCCGCCTTGTGTAAAAAAATTGTACAATCCGGTATTGAAATTAAAATTTTAAGCAAACTGAACACTAGCGCAATACAGGAAAAGATATTATATATACATTTATTAATACATCTGTAAGACAAATGGAATATTATTATTAGGTGTACAACTTTGCTTCCGCCGTTTTTTTCCAATATTAAAAGCTTTATTGCGAAAAAGTGCTTACAGATATATTATTCAAAGTATTGTCCTTCGCTAGCGACAACTTTCTCCCATCTTTCCGGCTATTTTCGGATCCCGGCTCGAAAAAAAAGTCCTCTTTTGACGCTATCCATGAAGCAATCCATTTTTCTAATTTTTCGAAGGATTGAAAATGTTGATCTGCCTGGCCGTATGCCATCGAATGGAATAGGTGGAAGTTAGAAGGGGCGACATCTGGGGAATACGACGGCTGGAGCAAGACTTCCCATTTCAGCATTTCCAAGTACTTTTTGACCACTTTTGCGACGTGAGGCCGAGCATTGTCGTGTTAAAGGATGACTTTGTCATGTCGCTCTTGATATTGAGACGTTTTGAAATGGTTTGCTAACTCACTCCCAACAATTCGGCAAGCTGTTCTTGGGTTTGGCATGAATCTTTATCAAGCAATGCTTCTAGTTATTCATCTTTGATGGTTTTTTCTCTTCCACCACCATGTTTGCCTTCGACATCGAAATCACCATTTTTAAAACGTTGAAACCACTCCCGACACGTGCTTTCACTCAGAGCAGCATCACCATAAGTTTCTGAGAGCATTCGATGTGCTTCAGCTGCATTTTTTTCGAATTGTAACAGAAAAGTAAAACTTCCCGCAAATGGCGAGAATTTTGGCACATAAACGGACATTTTCGAGCGAGAATAATACGAAAACAAGAACAACTCTCACTGAAACGGCGATGACAATTCGTTAGGCACTCTCTACACTCACTTTAAAGGCATTATCATCTATGTATTTCAACCAGCCTCAGCCGGTACAGCCACCTATCGGAAAACGACGGAAGCAAAGTTGTACACCCGATAGATCAAGAAAGCATACGAACTATTGATTGTTTTACCTATCGGTGAATATTATGTTATAGTAATGTCTTAATATATATAATGTTATTTATATAAACTTTCCTCAAGTTACAATAATACTACTACATTAGCGTTTTCTGAGTTCATCGCGAACAGACAGGCAGACAAACCAACATAGTGAAACACCGAAAGAGCTTGCAAATTTTGATAGATTGAGAAATGGGAAAAGCTGCTAAGTGAGTATACCAGTACCACCTATCCGGTTGGAATATTTCATAAAATGTAATTCATGATGACTTTGCATATTCATACATTTAAATATTCAGAGAAGAAAATAAGTGTTTAATACAGCCAAACCAAGTACTTTGAACCATGATTTGAAGTATTTTTTTTTTTCGCTTGATTTTAAAAATGCAGAATAACCAAGTGTAAAAAACTATGCTGCTTATAAATTTGTAGATAATGCAAATTTGTGTACTTGAGTTTGCTGTCTGCAGTTTCTTATGCCAACGCAACACAAAAAAAAAAATATTTAAAATATGAAATGACTGAAATACTATTTTGCATTGGTGCGACCGTGTACAAAAAGAAAAAGAGAACAGAGAGAATATTTCTCTCGCTCATGCTTCATTGCTGCTTAAAAACTTGCAAATGTGTATATGTAAATCTACGTGAATCCTGCAAGGATTTAGTTAAATAAATAGAATCCAACTAGTTCGCATTTGTACACTGACTAGTTCGACCACCATAGGCTTCTAGTGCTGCTTGGTTGGTGCTTAAACACCTGATAGGTAAACTATTGAGTAGGCTCATACAGCTCCCCGCTTAACACAAATATATTTTTAATTTTGCTAATATTTCATTTCTTCCAACCATGCGCGTTCACCTGCGTTCATGTCTCAATCGTCTGAAGGCCGGACACTTACAAAACAGTGTTCCAACAATTCGTCATATGGAGCTGATATTTCAAAGATAGATGCGCCCACAAGAATACTACCTTCCCTCTCTTAATATGAGTAAGACTTTGATCTGTTTACAATCCACAATGACCCACAATAATTTGCCGGTATGAACTACAATGGAAATGCTCGAGAACCTGAAGAATTCCTCTATAATGTACTGTTTTGGAAAACATTTGAAGACGCTGAATGATCTGAGGCAGTCAACGATGACCATATTGGCAACTTATATTATCAATTCTATACTAGTACCATACATTTTAGCAGTTTGAATTTCTATCCTACAAAAAACAATAGTATCAAAAATGAAGTAAAATGAATGAAAAAAAAAATAAATAAAATAAAATAAAAAATAAAAATAATTTCGCCTGTGTCAAGCTAACGCGCAACAGTGTCATCCTCTAGTTACTGGGGAGTAAATACTGCATTTTTCAACAGAGCATAACGGAAAATCAACTGCTGAACTGATACACAAACTACGAATTGGCATGTTTTCATCTTAAAAATACTAGATTTTTTGCGTACTAAACTATCTTCTGCTGCAGTTTATATTTATGCACACGTATGTATGTATATGCAGGAGAATGTCTATAAAGCTTGCTGTGCGCTGATATTTGGTATTCTTGCAACTTTCCGGTTAAATATTTTGCATTCCAAATCTTTGCATCTTTTGCAACCAAAAAAAAAAGTATTTTTTTTTGTCATTTAATCTGCATTTGCTTTTTATTTTCCACACGTAAGTCAGCGCTTGATATACTCGTATGTAAGGAAATTGCACGTTGCAACGGAGTAAAGTATTAGTGCACATGCATACTAAATGTGAGTGTATTATTTACCGCTACACACTGGTTTTGTTTGTTCAGGCTCTTAAGTTACTTTCTGAGATATTTTTGGTTGAACAGAATTATTTGTATGTAAAAAAAAATAGATTTTATGTAGATAGAAACTAAATATACTCAAAGGAAATCGAAGATACAAAACTAGTTAATTTTAAAAAAGAAGCTGAAAACTAGAGTACAGAATTTATCACCCACTGCTCATTCATGTAAGGATGTGTACGTTTTAGGTTTTTACAATCTGTTACTCATTCATGTTGTAAAAAACTGTCAAAATTTTGCTTTTGCTCTTTCATATGTGATTATATTTGCCCTCTATGTTGCTGTTCAAAACTGAGGAAATGATATATAATTTTATTACTCCCAGTAACATATATTTATATATATATTTGAAAACCTATTTATTTACGTATCGTTGCCTTAACCTGATTTCATGAAGTAAATGGGTTAATACGAAAAGGATCAAAATTTTTTTGTAAAATACAGTAATAAAAAAAATTCTTAAATTTCATTTTGACATCACATATGTAATATAGATGAACATTATGTACATGATTTATGTTTAAATATATTTTCAAAGTATCGTTTGCTTAAAGTAAACTTAAAATGAGCAAGAATCAACAAACTATTCGCATTCATCAAGCAACAGTTCCCAAGTCGATGT